CTCGGATACATTTTTATTGTGCAAATATGTTTTCATTTTTTTCTTTAATTCCTTTTATTTCCTGTAAAATTTATAGAATTTTTCACAGTTCAACCAACTCTGTGGGACCCACTAAGCAAATCTAAGTCGGTTCAAATTAATTCTGCTGCTCTGCTGCATATTAACAATAAATTTTTTAATTAATGACGAGAATCGATGTCGATTCAGTATTTACTTTTGATATATAGTTTGTAGTTGTAATTAAATTTTATAGGCCAAAGTTATAAAGTAAAGAAAATATAGTTTGTTATTTTTTAATGATATTTTTTTAATTTTCTACGTCAACTTTTAAACATGTCTAAATATCTTATAAGCTATCCTATATATACTTGTTCAAAAATGACTTTTTATAATATGGTTACCGGATATTTTTAAGCAAATTTATTATTTATTTATTTAATAAATGATTTTTTATTTCTATATAAAATTTTGTTTAAAAATCATTTTATAGATAGTTTTTACAGTCTTTACTTGATGTAAAATTGATTTTATGCAGCCTTATGTTCTCTAACATATATAATATATTAATGCATTTAAACTATTAATAATTTTTCTGTTAGCTAAAGAATTTTAATTCTCTAAAAGAAAAATTTTATTTTCTCTTTTATAATTTTTGAATAGAACTAAAATTAAACTAAAAAAAAAAAAGTCTGAAGAAAAATTTACGCTGCTATTCGATTTATCATAATTTTACATATATCACACACAGCACAAAATATTTTAAATATTTTTCGCAGTTTTTAATCTTGTTTTTTAAATTTAAAATAGGACAAAAATTAAGAAAATATTTTATAAACTTTGTGTTTTTTAACTATTTTTTTAATTCTAGCAATTTCTCAAATTATACATAACCAAAACAAATTGTTGTGGATAAAAAATTTCTTTCTCATTTTTTTTTATAAAATGAAAAATGTTTAAAAAGAATATAAAATTTGCTCAAATTTATTTATTAATAAATATAACAAAGTATGGAAGAGAATATTTTCAAATATACAGGGTTATTCGATTAGATTTGCTTATTATATGAGGCTTATTATACTGCTAGCTTATAACATTTTTATCGGTTATTGATGGGTGAGAAACAGTCCATAATTATGCATATATCTTTGCTGAATTTTATAAAAATATTTTTATATATATTGTATAATTTTTTTATATTTTTATGGTTTACATTTTTTATAAAATATGACTTTAATTTTTTGTTATACACAAAAATTTTTTAATTCATATTTTATATATGATTATATATAAAATAAATGTACGTTATACAAACTTTTATAGACACATTTTTATATATATATTTATTATAAGAACTAAACACCATTCAAATTTCATAATGAGATTTTTATCAAAAATTATTTTAGTTTTTAATAAAATTTTATATATATATATTTTTTTTTTTATAAATTAACAAAACTATTTCACAGCCATTTCAATATTTTCTTTAATGCAAAATAAGTGCGCATTGTATGAAACTAAAATATCCTGCGTGGTTGCATTTAAAGGAATTTTCACAAGAATGCGCATTGCACTGTTCAATTATTTTATAGATAAAAAAAATAAACAAAAATACGTTAAATATTTTCTATATAAAGTTTCGCGCACAATTTTCCATAAAAAGAAAATATACGTCAGTTTATATGGAGAAAATGAAAGCGGCGTCTTTGCGTACACGACGCAGCATTGACAACTAAAAATTTTGATATTAAAATATTTGGAAAAATACAAAAAGAATTTTGTATGTGGGCCAAGAGAGAATAAGGAAAATTCAATGGTGGCAGGAAAATTCATTTAAAAAATTACGAAGAGAAAAAAGCCATATAAAAGCTTTTAAAACACACATTCACCATAAGACTAAGTGGAAAAACCAAATATATTTGTACGAAAAAAGAAAAATACTGGGAAATTTATCTGCTGATAAAAAGTTTTTATCTTAAAAGTTTGGAAGAAAAAGCTCATAAAGTAACTTATATATCATTATAGTATAAAATATATACAATATGTTTTTATTTATTAATACACGTATATAAAAATTTATATCGTTAATAAATATATAATCGAAAAGATATATATATACAATAGATGGCATTTTATATCTTTAAATATATTTACAAACGTAAATATAGACTGAAAAAAGTTCAAAAATTAAAATAAAGTATAATAAAGTGTGTATAATATCTTGAGGTTTTCATATACTTATACAGAACCCATAAAAATAACTAAATAGATTTTTAAACAATCAATCAGTATTGAACTCAACATCACTGGTGTCCTTCATCACTTCCAAAATTCGAAATCGACTACACAACAGGTACGTATTTGTTTTGACATTTGTCGTATATAAGTGTGTTTTCTACTAAGAAGCAATTTCCAGCCATATTGCTTTTTAAATTAGTTCCCACCCATGCCCAATTATTCTCACTTCGAAATAATCCCCTTTTCTCTCTAACTACCAATACCTATCCACATCATAACCCATATATGTGTCTTTGTAATTCTTTTCAGGTTATAGTTCCTTGCGGGCTGTAACAGCAAAACCCAGTTTTTTGACTTACGATAATGAACACCGTAACTATTTCTGATGAAAAGGAATATTCTTAAACATTTAGTCTTGATTTATTTTATGTTGGAAAAGGCTGTGAATTTAATTTAGAAAAAATTGAATCGTTAAGCAAATGTTCCCAATAAACGGTGAATTATTAGATACTTTTACTCGGATATTTCAAATAAATACAATTGAAAAAATAATATAAAGTGCTACCAAAAAGTACTAAAATATAAAAATAGGAAAAATATGAAAAACAAAAATTTCTTTATCAGAAATATTTTAGTTGTCAATAAAAGTTTCAATCATCTCATACTTATTTTTGTAAAGTTCAGTTGACTCGAAAGTTCCAACTAAAAGATTAGGAATTCTCTTGATAAAGACAAATTTTCCGAAAAACAAAACCGACTTTAAAAGACAAGGTTTTTATATATTGAAAACAGATTTAATCTCTATAATATCTAATATCTTAGCACTCTTATAAATTAAAAAAAAAAAGTTTAATCAAAGCACAAGCACATAGCTGTTACAAAATTAAAATGACTTGGTAAGATGTAACTAAATGATACATTAAATTTTAGAATATGAAAAGTCGACTAGAATAATCCTCCAGCAGTTTGTATTAAAATAAATTATAAGTTGAATTGAATTCTAATGACGAAAGAAACTGAGTTATTAATTGTTTTCTATAGAATGGTATCGAAGTGTAGTGAATGTCAACAACAAAAATTTTTTATTATTTTTAATTAATTGAATTTTTGGCTAACCATACACCTGTTTTGAGTATTGTCAAATGTCCATAAATATTAAGAACAAAACTAAATATTTTAAAATGTTCATACACTATCCAAAACATAACATTTTAATTAAATTCATATTATATATCAAGAATAGTTGAATAATATATAATTAAATCATTATCTATAAAAAGTTAAAACATGTACAATACTATGACCCTTAGATAACTAGACAGACAAACGTTTTATGAGAATATCCCATAAAAAAGAGCTTTTGAAAAATGTTTGAAAAGTAGGGAATTTTTTGTTTATGTATTTAAACACAAATCAGTATTATTATTTTTTTGTTATGCCGGTACATATTATCATATGTTAAATCATATGATGGAATTTATTCTCAGAATATATATCCTTCCTGCCCAATAGGCATAGCAAATTTGTTTTGTTTACATTTTCTTGCTATTGAAATTTTATAAAATTGGCAAGAAAATGTAAAATATATAAAAAGTAGTGACTTATTTTCTGTATACTAATCATTTTTATTGTTCTCAAAGGAAATGTCGAATATATTTAAATAATAAAGTACATTGACGTCAACCGTAGTAATCACACCATGAGGGTGGCCAATACCCAACATCGAGGAGTGTTAATGTAGAAAAGGAAGGAAAATGTTGAGGTTAAATTCAATTGAATTGGAAAAAGCAAATAAAATTTATTGACAGAAATGTTCATAAAAATTTTAAAATAAAAAAAAATATTTACTTCAAATTGCAGCTTTATAGGTCACTAAACAAATTAAACACTTTAAACTGGTATTTTATAAGTTTTTAGAATTCCATAATATTTTAAGTTTAAACAAACTAAATAAAATAAAATATTTTAAAAATATTTTTTAGAAAGTTATTATATTTTTAGTTTATTGCCTTTAAATTAAAAAGCTTATAAGTCCTTTACAAGTCCTTTTACTCCGCTATCATCCAATATATATTAATTAAAGAAACGCATTATAAGGTTACTGGCTAAACAAGATTATAATAATTTTTGGCATTAACGAAATGGTTAAAAGTGAGATCATTTAGAATAAGTGATAGGTTCTAATAAAGGAACCCAACAGTACATACATAGCTAGGAACTACCTTGTGTTTTTATCAGAATTATATTATGGTAAATATATATTATTACCCACTGTCAGTAAGATCATAATAAATAGTTTTAAAATGTTATGCTGGGTAATACGTAAATTTTTAATAAAATAATTACACTGTTATTATAGTATAACTTCTACGAAAGCACTACACCTAGTTAAAATTAGCAAAAAAAAAAGCCAATGGACTCCAATAAGAAGGACAACTAGTAAATAAATAATTGTATATAATATGTGAAAGGTAAAATTACCAAATAAATATACAGATTCTTACGAAGGGAGACCTATTAAAGCATATTTGTAATGAAAGTAATGATCTATAGCGTTATGCATATTTAACAAAATTCGTAGAATAAACTCAATATTTGCACCACAACTTTTAATCCAACTAAGATTAATTTTTATTTAATTTTTTTTTATTCTTGAAATGTGTCTATTTGCAGAAAAAATCTATTAAAAAATTCTCGCCAAATTGATTTCGATTTTTAATCTAAACAAACTGTGATTAAGAAGATTAAGATTTTATAGTACTTACTTTGGTCTTGATGTCAAACTGGGATCTGATGTTTTGCGTCTGCTATTGCGATTACGTTTATGTGATAAACGTTCCTTATACGATTCCGAACGGTTAACTGAAACGGGGGCGCTCTTATTTTGCTGATGTTGCTGATGTAAACTGCATGTTTATTTGTTTTGGCAAAAATGTGATTGTAGATATTTAATGGTTTTAGTTTTTTTTTTTTAAATTTTTTTTATTTTTTGACGAAAAAAGCACATGTGAAAGTAATAAAAAATATAATTAATGATCAAATAAATACTGTAAAATTTTATATTTTTACTAACCGTTCCCTGCGTGCATCTTTACCCTCTGCTGCGTCCTGCGCATTTACATCGGCGCCTGTTGCTGCTCCAGCTGCTGTTGCACCACCAACATTGCCAATGCCACCACTTGCACCAGCTCCACTTGACGTTTCCACACCACTGGTATCAGCAGTTGTTGCATGAAATGAACTCTGCAAATCGCTACTGTTGTGTGATGTATTACCATTGGAGCGTAGTGAAATGTTTCCAGCATCCGGCCTACGGTCTGAGGGTTGCCGCACAATAGACGTTGAATGTAAGCGTTCTGTAAAAAAATAAAAAATAAATAAATTAATTAAATAATTATAAATACAATCAAATTAGTGAGACAAAATATTATATGTTTATTCATGCTTACATAAAGTTTAATCATATATTTTAAACTTCTCAATTTAAATATTAATATCTTAATATGTTTTTTTAATCTCTTAATTCAATATGCTCTTTCGTTAAGCTTATTTATTACCACTCAAATTATAATTTTAATTCTTAATTAATTTAAGATTAAATTACTCTTAATTATTATTTTTAATTTCTTAGTCTTTAACATTCCTTCTACATTATATATATATTTTTTATCTCATATTTTCCAATCGTGATCTTTAATTAAGAATTTTAATCTTTAATGTAAATCTCATTTCATTTACCTAATCCTTTTAACAATTTAAATTTAACATTATAATCACTTCTAAAAACGGCAATCTTATAGGGTTACCAATGATCAACCTATGGTTACCTATACTTAACCTATGGTTAAGTGAAGAAATTAGACCTAGAAAGGAGATTCAGAAACTAGACTAATAAATAGTGGAGACACCAAAAAAAATGCGGTGAAAAAATGGAGGTCTGGACGCAGATCGAAAATCACAAGAGCATGGCTTGAAAAGTCAAGCCTCGAAGTAATACGAAATAGGTTCCAAAAGGAGAATAAGTCTCTCCGAAGAGGGCGTGTTTTCATTCGTATACTACATCTTAATGTTAAGGAGTTGTGCACACCCTTCCGACGACGGTCGGTATGAAGATGCATAAAGCATTCCACATCTAAAAAAAATATGGTTACCTACAGAAACTGAAATCTTATGTGGTTACTTATAAAAACAAAAATCTCATATGGTTACTTTTGATCCTATCAATGTTTTTACCTATTAATTTTGAGTAATCATCTTTTAATCTTATATTGTAATTACTCTTACACAAATTTTAATCATATATTTTAATCTCTTATGTATGTTCATATTTTAAGTTTTTATATCTCGTATTTACTCTTATATTATCTAACTTATCTTAATCTAAATTCTTTATTTTTATCTATTAATCTCGAGTTATTTTAATCACTGTAAGAACCTTAAATAAAGTTTTGCTCACCAATACTAATTTGTTTGTAAAATTCCGGACGTTTATTAGAATTTTTTCGTTTTTTAGCTGTTTTGTTAGCAGCAGCTGCTGCTTTACGATTTTTATAATTATTTGTTGTTTCATTGATCTTAGCCGCAACTCTCGATGTAAGAGAAGGGGAAGATGATTTCTGTTTCTCTTGTTCTTTCTGAACCTCTACTAGCGACTGTGCTGCAGCAATAGTTTGTGATAATTGTTTGTCTCCCTTAGTAATTTCGTCATCTTGTTCATCACATGAATAAAAAGCTTCGTCCTCAAAATTTCCACTACTCTTACTACTATTGGAACTATTACGTTTAATTTTTGATATCTTATCAATACTTTTTGTGCGCTGTTTTACTGGCTCTTTACTATCGGGTGCATTATTAACAATATTGTTATCATTGCTATTTCCACTGCCAAGACGATCACGGAAGGAGTTTTTCAAACTTTGCTTTTTCATTAATATAACATTACGTTCTGCTTTAGCATCATTCTCTTTGGGAGCTTCAGCTACTACACGATCCTGTGAGGAATACTTCAATGCTATAGGTAATGGTTTGCAACTTGCTGCTACCGCAAAGACACTAGAAGCAGCCTCAGATATGGACTTGCGGCGCATAAGTGTGAAATCATCACCATTTAGAAATTTTTTATTATTCACCACGAATTTTACGAGTGCCTGCAAATTTAAATTTGCGTGAGCACGTATACTTTTCTCTTTCTTATCTTTTTTATTATTCTTCTCTTCAGCAAGTAGACTAGCCGCAGTCACTTTACGTGCGCTACGAGAACGTTTGATACTCTCACGTTTTTCGATTTCAGCAATTTTCGTTTTGGAAGCACTTTTTTCAATACGATTATGTTTATACTTGGGATCAGTTAGCAATATTTTCTCTTTACCATGAATCCTAGGTAAATTGTCTTGCTTTTTACGAGTAGCGTTGTCGTCTTCATCAACTGAGGAGTCTGTATCACTATCAGTGTCAAAACTCAAATCATCAATTTGCTCAACATGCGATTTACTCGAATCGATACTCTTGGAGAGTAAATCATTCGGCACTGTTGTTGCTTTGTTGCTTTCGTCTGAGTTTTGTCGTCTCATTGTAGCTGTTGCAAATGTTTTATAAAATTTTCTTTTTGGCGGTTCTGTTTTAATCGTTTTTATTGTAGGTTTTTTATTCGCTACTTTTGTCTCAATAGCTTTTTTATTGGCTGCTTTTGATGTTGGTAAGTCCAAAAGTATATTCACCTCACTTTTATAAATCTCACCATTTGCATTAATATTATTCATGGTTTTTTCAATACCCTCGTCAACTTCATCTTCGTTCGGCGCCTCTTCCAAAGACGAAGACTTTGTTTTTTGCAATATATAATGAGGTGACTTTGAACGCTTTCTGGTCGAAGGTGTTTGTTGTATGCTTGATTTACGACGAAAGCTTGCGCGTCGGAATTTTTCAAATTTTGATGTTTCATTTGTGTTGTTGTTGTTGGTGTTTGTTTTTGTTGCAGTTGTATTGGCTGTTGCTATTGCAGTAGCGTCGTCATTAGCTTCACTGCTACTTCCACCGACCGATAAACGAAACCACATTTTGTCAGGAAGAAGATTATTTTATATATTTACAATTTTATTAAGTTTATTAAACATATGCACAAGTGTTTTTCTTTAATGTGGCAACACTAGACGCATTCAATGTGTTCGTACTTGGTACACTAATAAATCCGTACTTCGTACTTGAAAAGTTCTTTACACTGTAAAAATAATTTCAAACACTTTTTCGTTTTAAAAAATTTGTTTCGTTTCTTAATATTTTTATATGGAATAGAGTTTTTTTAAAATTTCGTATCGTTGTGTTTTTCGTTGTTTCGTTTTTTTTATACATTTCCTAAAATTTTTTCCGAAATTATTTTGTAGACAGAATTTCATTTAATTGTAAAAAAATTTAAATTTAAACGAATTTTTAATTTTGTGTGCACAAATGTTGACAATTTTGTAAAGACTAAAAACTCATTAAATCGCCAAAAAATTATTTTTCATTTGTATAAAGCAAAAAAAATAAAACAAAAGGTGAAAAAAAACATTTTTTTTTCTCTCTTGCTTTTAAAATTAAATTTTAGCCGTCATAAATAATAAATTTTTTTTTTCTTGAACTAAAAAGTCGAAGAGCTGGCTGGCGCTGACAATCTCTGAGAAAATTCAGACTGGTTGCATACTGTATTAAATGCATTAAAAAGTAATATTGGGAAGGAAAAATAGATATGAAAGTTCAAGGTCCTGCTTGTTTCCATGTCTGCGAAAAAAAAACTATTCCCATTAGAGCGAAATACTATACTTGGTATTTTTCACAAAAATAGTTCAAATAAAAATAAAAAAATTTAAATTTATTAAAATTGAAAACAAGAGTATGAAGGGTGATTTAAATACAAAATGTTATACAAAAATGTTATAAAAAAAACTTAAATTTATTAAAATTGAAAACAAGAGTATGAAGGGTGATTTAAATACAAAATGTTATACTAGTTGAAAAAAAAGGTAGATAAAATTTTATCTGTTTAACATATTGAAAATGTTTTCAATATTAATTGAATTAATTTTTTTTAATTTAATAAGCTTACAATATTTTAATTTCCAGTAGTTCCCTCGTACTGTCTAAGCTTTGTAAATATAAATAAAATTCTACATACACAGGACAACATCGTTGTTGTTGCAAATTTGCTTTTTTTTTTATACATGGTGGTAGTATTTCAATTGTTGCTTCTGATTTTTTTAAATAAAAAAACAAATTTGTTCTTTGCCCTTATTTGAAATTGGTTGCTTAAGTCTTAAACATAAAGCAAATTTGTTGTTTTTTTTAGCATGAATCAGGCCTTTAGGAGTATATGAAGAATTCCACCTTATTGTCGTTATTACAATTCTACATACATACATACATAGGTGCTTGAAATTGTATTACTATGTTCGAACAGTATGAATATAACTATTCGAATTTAAACATTTCAAATTTTCAAAAAGTTTTAAGCTGGTCGCTAATGTTTACGGTACTACTCAAGGAGAACATGTCAATTTTTTATTTTAATTTTTATTTTATTTTTTATTTTCTTTTATTTTATTTTATTCTTTTATTATTTTTTGTTTCTTTATTTTTTGCTTATTATTTTTATTTTTTATCATGCTTGTTTATTTATTTTTTTTTTTTTAATCTTTCCTTATTTTTTATTTTATTTTTATTTATTTTTTGTTTTTTTTTTTATTCGAAATTTGTTAACAAGGGTTCTTAACTAAAGTTAAAGTATTTAATTAAAACTTTGACACAAAAAAAAATTTTTTTTTCAATAACATATAAGTAATTTTTCACACTTATTTTAAATATTTGTTAAAGTAGTAAGATCTCAACTACAATAATATTTTAATATCTTCACAGATAAACGTTAGCTCTTCGACACACTTTGTACAAAAACCTTAAGAGCCAACTTCACTTCAAAAATGCTAATGAAATATTTTAGTCAAATGCCTTAAACTACACACAAAAAGTAAAAATTAAAAAAATTTGTGAAAATATTTTAATTAATTAAAAAAATAAAATAAAAATAAACGTGGAGTTCACCAACGTACGTGTTTCGTAAAAAGTATCGTTTAAACTATTCTGGTCAAGCAATTTCAGTTTTCAATTGCAAAAAGTAAAAATTATTTGTGGCAAATAAAAGGCAGGCAATAAATTAATTGGTGTGACTAAAACTTCGAAATTCGTTATAAAAGACGTTATCTTTTAAATATAAAATTTTTGCAAATATTTCTATATACACGAGTATAGAAAGACTTCAAAAAATAATAATGGTTAAAATACTGAAATATGATAAAAAGCCAAAACAAAGAAACAAGGCAAGAGGCCAAATAACGTTTACTCAATTAATTGACAGCGGATACAGGTAAACGCAAATCATAGTAAAAACAATAAAAAAAAAAAAAAAAACAATGAAATAAAAAATAAAAATAAAACAAACACAATTGAAAAAGGTAAACACTTCTGTAAATGATGTCATCATTTCGTTAATAGAATTGCAGTAAAAAAAATCAAATATTAATAAGTTAATAAAAATATGTGCATGTAATGACTATTGTTACTAACAAAGGGAAATTATCGTTCGAAAATAAAAATACATTTTAGTGCAAAATAAATCAAAAGGGGTATTCACGATCTCGCGTAACGAACTCGGTAACCTAGTAACATAGTAACCGTGCAATATACATATTCTAAACAATCCGTTTCCAGTGCATGTATTATGCTATTAATCCTTTACTACAGTCTTACCATTTTACTGGATCACTCGAGATCTTAAATTGGAAGTATTTACAAAATAGTGCAAAACAAATCATATTCTGATCCTCTTAAAAAAGCTAATATAGTCAATATAAAGAACTCATAAAACTATTGTTGTCAGTCAATGCATTCATTTAATATCACGAGACAGTGGAAACGTCTCATTTAAGAAGTTTTGCTCATTAATGCCGCTAATGAACACAATTTACCATACAGAAAACTTTCATATAATAGAGCTTATTATAAATAAATCAACTGATTTAAGTCGAAAAAGGTCGAAATCAACCTTAAAAAATAAAATTCCCACAAGGGAAATCACCAAAATTTGATATATGTGTCGTATCTTTTATATCTAAAAAAATAACAAACAAGCTATTTCACATACATAAATCAGCTTTTGACAATGAAAACTAGCAAATCTTTATTTCATTAACATAAGTAGTTTTAGCTGCAGTGGAAACATTATATAAAAGTTTATATGGGGTTAATCACGATTGCGAACAGTGAGTTCGGTAACCGAGTACCATACTAAGAAAGTAACAATCAATAAGTGGCAAACATAAAACAAATATCGAATAAATGAATTTTGTTGGGAATTTAAACGAAGACATCTCATATTCGAAAAAAGAATAAAACTATTTAATGTAGGTTTAATGCTATATATAATTCATAGACGAAGTTGAATTTGGACTAATAGTCTAAGTCCATAAGCTAGGTAGGGGCACAGCAGATCTCTAGATCGTAGTGAAAATTTCCCAATACATTAATAATAAAGTTGACACTTTACACTTTTAGTCGTTATTCAAGCTTATTGGTGGAGATTGTGAATACCCATATAGAAATGGGTTTTTTTCATATTCTGAAAGTTTTCTTCAAAACTTCAACCACTTCAGAAAAGTTACATATCAATTACAAAAATAAGAATTTGCAAATAAAAAATATTGTTTTAAAAAAAACAAACTCAGAATTAATTTATATTTTATTGACCTACGTATAAGTAAGTAAGTAAGTAAGTGGAGTGCTACGTGCTAAAATAATAAAATTACAACAATCAGTAAAAAAGTATTTCAATATTTGCATACATAAAAGCAGTAAAAATGTATTGGTTATCAACATCGATGCCTATAATATTACCATATAAATAATATATTTATAAAAACAATTGAAAACCAAATAATAATAAAAAAAAACACGCAGTTTTAATTGATTTAATAAAAACAATGTATACGAGCGAACACGGGCGAACCCAAGGGGGGATGTATGGGATTGTAGTGCCTAAAAATGTGCCAGAAGTAATATTTCATGTAGTTGACTAAATATTGACTAAATTTGATAAATCTATAGTGAATGTCTGGACATGAGTAATTGCAGACAGTTGTGTGTGCATAGCAACTAAAATCAGATTCCCGATATTATAACTTTTTTCTACGAGAGATACGTATAAATATTGTGAGGAACTACAGAAACTTTGAAAGAAAGTTGATTCCCTTTACTTATTTTTATCTCCTACGCCCATAAATGTATATTTTAGTAAATAAAAAGGAGGCGGGGGTATATGTGAACAGATGTCTCAGTTATTATCAGTGCCTCTTTAACAAACCAGAACTCTTTATAAAAATGAAATAACTAAAGAGTTAGTAAACTAACAATAAAAAAAATATGATGTCATTGGAAATAATTTAACCAAAAGTTGAACTGTAAAAAAAAGCTGATATGTTATCGATAATTATTATAACAACACAAATGCGAAAAATTACGACTTGTAAAATCGGTCAAATCAGTTATTGTCACCACAATTTTTTTCTGATTCTAAGAATAATTAGCTCTATATACACAAAGTTTTTAATTTATATTAAAAATTAAAAATAAAATTAAATAAAAAATATTTATCTTACAGTGTTGTTATGCGAAAGTAAACAAAAAAGTATAGAACGTTATAAATAGATTTATTTATATGTTCTAAAATATGACGTAGATTGATTATAAATTAGGTTAAGATATTTTCTTAACATTTTCATTAATTTAGTTTTAATTAGTTATTTAGTTTAAATATTTTTTTTTTGGAATATACATAATATATTATAATGAATAATTGAATGAATCACACGATATAATATATGGTATACTATATTGTAAGGTCATAACAAAATTAATAATACTCAAAAGAAAGAGTTTAAATGAAAATCAACAAGATTATAAGAGATTATTAGGGGTCAACATTTATTAAATATATTATAAATTCCAAGACAACAAGGCCCGTAAAATATACTTGAATATACTATGAATATAGTCTGGGTAAAATATATTGAACAAACTATGTTTAATAATCTACAACTTGATTTAGCCATATTGATATTTTAAAATTATTGAAAATTATTGTTAATCCATGTAATTAAGTTTAATAGTAGCTAGATATACTCTAGTACATTTCTATATATCTATATAGATTACTCCTGGTATTATACCAGCCGAGAATCATGAAACAAGATCCGATATAATAGAATTGTGAGGGTCATCTGTGTCACTAGGAAAGAAATATAAGTATAAATATTGTACTAAATTGCATA